GGGGGGGGGAGTAAAAAAGAAAAAAAAGTTATGAAAAAGAAAAAAATAATTATATAAAAAAAAAAGTGACAATGTAAAACATAAAATACAAAAAATGAAAACCAACCCCGATTCCCCCCGCCATCTGCATGCAAATAAGCGCACGCATAGGAAATTGTGTGTGTGCGCGTTGAGTGCTGCCACCATTTCACTGTGCCATATTGTGGTAGCGAGGCAGCAGAACTCTCTCACACGCACAATGTGCATTAAAGGGCAAGTTCACTTTCCCAGGTAATATGGTCAAATTGAATTACCCGATCAAATATGGCCCCCGTCTCTCCCAAAACCCCCCATCCCCCGGCTATACTTACCTTTCGGCAAACAGTCCTTACCCTCCACCGGTACAGGTGTACTGTCCTCACCCCGTACTGTCCAGCCCTATGCATTTTGAATTTCGCTCGCAAATTGCAAGCACTCATTGGTCTGTGTGGTCTGGTGACCACGCTGACCAATGAGAAGTGCTATTTAGCACAGACCAATACAGTTTTGATTAGGGATGCACAGATACAGAGTATTTGGGCAAGTACTTGTACTCGCCCAAATGCTCGATATCTTCTCCAATACCGGAACTTCTGGTCAGAGGAAGATTTCCTCTGACCGGCAGTGCCGTAGGGGAACATGGTGCCAGCTTACCGTGCAATCAGGAAGCGGGGCAGCGACTAATGACCCGCCTCTCAGTTTCCTGATTGGCCAGGAAGCCAGCTCCTTGCTGATTGGCTGGGAAGCCAGCTTCCCAGCCAATCAGCATCGAGCCGGCTTCCTGACCAATCAGGTAATTACTCGCCGCCCGGTTTCCCGATTGGCCAGGAAGCTGGCTCGATGCTGATTGGCTGGGAAACCGGCATCCAAGCCATTCACAATCAAGCCGGCCAAACAACATGGAGTCGGCTTCCCTGGCAGTCAGGAAGCCGGGTAGCATCTCATTACCCGCTGCACGGCTTCCTCATTGCCCGGGAAGCCTGTTCCATGCAAATGGAAGCAGCGATACTCGGTGAGTACCGAAAGCAAAATATCGGTGCTCGTACTCTATACCCAAAAACCGCTATTGGTGCATCCCTAGTTTTAATTAAAACTATTTTTTTTTGTATCAGGACAAGTAGATTGTCGTGAAGGACAAGTAGATTCGGCCCCCACTTTAGTCCTTGGACAAGTAGTTTTTTCAAAAATTTCCACACCCTGTGATGCTTAGCTGTTCCCTACAGTGGTGAGTCCATTATGGCTTGAAGAAGCATGCCCTTGATGCCCTGGACTCAGAGGAAGTGAGCTGAATACCCATAGGCGTTATTCACCATTAAAGTTAGAGGACCAGTTCCGGATGACTGGAGCAGTAAGTCGGCACGTGACAATGCCGGAAATTTGGGTAGCATTTATTCTATTATATTGTTTTCAGATGTTTGTCTGCTATTTTTTGTTGTTGTTTTAAACCAACAAAGCTGGAGTTGGGCTTTAAAGTGCATATGTATGTGACTTTCTACAAGCTAGATCTTCCATGTTTTGGTTATTGTATTAAATTTCAATTTCAAACAAAAAAAAAGTAAATTTTTCATGGTATGGCTCAGATACAGTTTACACTTGTAGGTATACACTATTACAGGGTAGGCCAGACCTCAGACCTCCAGCTATGGAGAAAATACCAATCTCAATAGGCATTGCAAGACTCTGACAGCCACAGGCATGACTTCCAGAGGCAGATGCATTGTGGGATTAGTAGTTTCACCACAGCAGGATGACCAAAGTTTGGCTATCCCTGCTCTATAACATAGCAAATCTTCAATTTTTGAGTTCAAGTCCACTAAGTACCTCAGTCATGTAATGACCATTAATCCTTTCCTATTATAAAGAAAAGCACTGTGTGTCACTTTACCTTTCAGATATCACTCTGTCTCTCTGTCATCCATCAGGATGACTGATACCATCTCAGTGAAGCACAGCAGAGAGCAATGGAGCCTGTATTTTTAGACATTACAGCTTAAGGTAAGCAGAGGATGCTTTACTTCAGAAAGCCCCATGATTCTATAGTCCTTATCTTTCATACCATATGAAAGAAAACAACA